TGCAATTTTTAAACACTTGAGATAAGTATATGTTTGGCAAACCCTGTGCATATACATTTATTTCTAATATCTTGAATTCATTGAATCTGAGAACATGACTAGCTAGCTATATCCATCTCCCTTGTAAAAAGAAATTGCTTGGAAATTCTAAATGCACGTCCTGTTGAGTTGTGATCTATTTTACGGACGAAATATAGAGAGAATTATTATAGGGTGAATTTTATTGTTTATTTTATTTTCATAGTTTATGCATAAATGACAAACATTTCCATGCAAGTTACAAGTTCTTCTGTTCTTAAAGAAGGAAAAATAAAGAAGAAATACAAAAGTTAAAAGAAAATGTCCAAAGCACACACAGCAATTGCTATTTCTTCGGATGACTGTGACAGTGTTTGAGAAAGAAAAATTGCAATATATATTATAATTATAAGCACAATATCAATCTCAACTACAGTGCTCTTGGATTCTTTTTCTTCTTCCCTTTACCCTTAGGTTTCTTTTGCTTTTTCTTGCTGGCTTTTTTGCTGGGAGGTGAAACCTTGCGTTTCTTTGGGGGACGTGGGACAGTAGGTTTTTTCTTCGGATTGAAGACTCTGCAGTTTTTTCTCACTTCTCCATCCTTTCCAACAAGAACCCCAACGCTCCCCATCTTCACCATTGCATTTCCAAAACGCTGCTTAAATCCATTCCCATCTCTCGCAAAACGTGAAACGAAACCGGAAGTAGAGCTATCTATGGCAAGTTCCTGGTCAATATGCATTATTCCTCTCTTCAAAAGGAGCTGTTTGTAGAACTCATTGTCAACCGCAAAACCTGTGCCTTGGTCCAACAGTACAGTAGGATCAGTATTTGGATTAGCACAGACATTTGTCAGGTTGGCAGCTAAATTAGCATCCATTGATGGATCATTTTGAAGACGTTCACTGAAGAAACTACAATGTGCAACACCAACAGTATGTGCACCTAAAAGGATCACCATTTCTTCAAGGGTTAGACCTTTTGCTCTGAAAATTTGAAATGCTTGAGACACATCCACTTGTGGTCCAGGCAAGTTCACATCACCCGCTCTGGAGACTAGCCCGTCACGTCTTCCTGTAGGCACAGTGTAGTTTGGTCCTCCAGCAAGAACTACAGCGTCTCTGGTTGCAACTGTTATGATGTCTGCACATGAGACTTTTGAAGGGCATTTAGCCTCTAAGGCTTTCTTGATCTCATCAATAAGCTCGTATTCACGGACAGTCTGGTTCGGTCCTGCATCTTTCTCTGCTTGGTTTTGAGTGGTTGAATCTATAAGAATAGATGCATCGCATCCCTGCAATAAGAAGTTTCTCGTGATACCTTTATGCATGAATCTATGTAACCCAAGTTGCGCGCACATAAACATGTTTATTGCACTAGGATTTGTAACATTATTACCTCGAAGAGGCAAAGTTTATGAGAATACTAAGTTAAATAATTAATCTATTGCTCTAGAAATTTCAGTAGTTTTCAAGTAGGAAAATCTTACTCTAACGAAGCAATCATGAAAATGCATGCGAAGCAAGGCTGCGGTTACGGATTTATCTGTGTTGAACCGCTTTTGCACTGCCTGAAAAATGATAGATTCTGCGTCAGGGCATGTTGGTTTGTAAAACCCAACTCTTAGATCGGCTAATACAGCCGGAACAATGAAGAGAATGAGCAGAAATGAAGATTTCATTCCCATTTTTTCTTAACGAGTACAAGAGTTTTAGCTATGGAGTTGATGGCCACTTTGACGGTATTTATAGATGAAGAGTTACAGACAGGTGCAGCACGACTAGTTTTTTGAGAAAGGCATGGCTCCTACTTAGAAGTTTTTTTAATAATCATTTCAAAGAACTTGATATTTGAAATGGCTATCCCCTCCCAGCATACAACAAAAGATGCCCTTGTTATGCAGCTAGCGAATATTGCAAGTTTCCTTAATATGAAAACAAAAATGCAGCTAGCGAATATTGCAAGTTTCCTTCAAGATAAAAATCATTGCTTTGACTACTTAATATGAAAACAAAGTAAGTTTCCCACGCTAATGCAATTAAATAAGAGTTTTTTATATTAATTAAATGGATTAAGCTAATCATTAAACGATAACAACAGGCAAATCTCAAGGCCGGCGAGAAAATAATGATGATAAAAAATAATATCGTATTCCGACCATCTGTATATTTTCCGAAATTCCGAAACCATTTGTCATTCCTCTCATCAAAATAATAATAATAATAATAATTAAATTTTGTTTAATATCTGCTACTGAGATTGAGATGTCGTCTCAGCTGTCTACAACTTGCAATGGGAGATCTCCAGATACTAAGAACATATCGATGACAAGACCATATACAATTGATATTTAAGTATATTATTGATCACAGAATTAATCTCCAAATGCCTCTAATCATGCTAGTCCTAGGTATAATGAAAATATAGCAAGAGAGTCACAGGATCAACAATATCTCTGCAAGTGTCTAACTTGAAAGCTGTCAAAAGCTTTTTAAAGATCACCCTTTGTACAAGCAGATAACCAGGGACCCGTGATCATCGTGATCACCTTGATTAAAAGAGATATATTTAAAAATTTGATAATGATTATTTTTTAAAATATTTATTACTTGAAAATACATTAAAATAATATATTTTTTATTTTTTAAAAAATTATTTTTAATAGTCATATTTCATACATCAAAATAAAAAAATAATAATAATTCTTTACAAAGACAGTTTCCGTAAAGAGTTATCTTAAAGAGCAGCCGTCAAGAAAAAGTAGAACAACGTTTAATCAACTTGTGGGTATCCACAACGATTTCTGGGTTTCTTTTCCTTATCCAAATGGTACTGGCACTGTCAAAACTTGTTTAGTTTTTGGTTTCTGATATTCCGCATTGTAAACCTAAGGAAATTAATTCATGTCCTGATGAAATTACAGAATTTGAATTTATTTCCCCACAGCTTTATTATATTGTCTTTCAAAATTTGAAGGCGGCCATATCTGTGAAGAATCGAATAGTCATACCCTTCGAGTTTTATACCAGGGAAAACAAAAGATTAAATTAAAAAAAAAAATCTGTAACTGTTGAATCATTCATTAAATGACAAGGGAACAGGCCTGCACGTTGAATGCAATTATTTGCCTGTTTCTACGCAGTACAAGCATAAAACAAAAGTTGTAGGATGCTAAGTTTTCATAATGTTGACCTAGATTCAGCATCCAGGATGGTTCTCAAAATGTGGACGAAATTTGATGGTAGCATGCTCTACGACCACAGCTATTCTGTCGGTAAAGAAACAAAAAAGAAGGAAAGTAAGAAATTAAATTTAGTTGTTGTTCTCTTTTATGGGTCAATGGAAAGCTTATTTCAAAGGGTAAATGTTCTCTCTCTCACACGCACACAGTGACTTGTACAGGGCCATCACTGTGTCCTGCTGTTCCATGTCAAACTTCTGAAATAAACCCATCCCGCTGGGAAAAGTAGGAAGAAAAGAAAATTGCGGGGAAGGAAAATATGGCCCCTAAACTATTGTGTCTGTTCCAATTGAGTCTCCATCCCTAAACAAATAGCTATGAATAGTTCTCATTCCCGAATGTCAATTCTGAAGCTGGTTCAGTTTTTCTGTTGTTACAAGAGACTACGATATAATTAAACAGAATTCGTAATATGGCATAAAATGCAATAATTATATAATAAAAGATACCCATTATTGATGCATTCATTGCTAGATAAAACTCTACTGTAAGTATGAATCCTTGATAAAAACAATTTGTGTTAGACGAGTTCGATAGAATTCTTATTAGATCGTAGAGCCTGTAATTTTCTATAAAGATTTTCATAATTACAAGGGTGTTAAAGGGTGTGATCAATTAATTATAAGAGCCCGGGAGGTTAAATATTTGTGTGTTAGTTTCAAACATTTGTTGTCAGAGCTTGAGTTGATTAGGATAACAAAGAAGCAGCAACTGTCTTATAAAAACCAGACATAAGAGCTTCACTCTCGTAGCAGCAAAATCTCCAAGCAACAGTAGAAAAATGCAGTAGCAGTCCTTCGAGCAAAACACACGCAGCAGCAGCAGTATAGACACAGACTCCAAGAGAGTAGCAACTCCATACATAGCAGCAGTGTCTACTTAATTCGCATAGCAGCCTCCATTGACAAGATTTTTGAAGGAATGCGAGATTGACCAATTAGGCATCGACAAGGTGAAAGGAATGATAAGATTAGTTTATTATTTTTCCTCAAGCAGAAATGGATTATAATCTACCAAAAACAATTCCTACTTGAAGAGATATAGCTTTGTGTAGTGCGCAATGGAAACTACAAGCTTTATCAAACAAGAAGATTTATTACCGGATAAAAAAATGAAATTATCCTTAATAATATCTATTTCATGGACGAAAGAAGATTAAAAAAAAATGTTTGTTAATGCTCTGACTATTTATCAGCAAAAGCAAGATATGCTTCGCAAAGTAAAACTTACTTTAAAAGATTTGGTTCCATTAATCAACATATTACTAGATTAAGATCAATTAAAAAATATATTTTCAAGTCACTTGCAGTACTTTGCAAACAAAATATAGAAAAAGACACTGTCAAATTGGTTTTATTTTTTAAACTAGGAAATTACTAAGTGTTTTCACTAATGAAGATCTTGTTTTAGATCCTCGTTGTTAAACTGTTTAAGAGAGATTATTAGATAAAATCCTGCTGATCTCCTGTTATCTGTCAAATTCAGGATTTTGGCTGGTCTTGCGTTTTAGATTAAAAGCAATACAATAAGGCAAGTAATGTCTGCTTCTTTTGCTCAAAATATTATTCCGCTCGATTCTTTCATGTTTCCAAACTTTCAAAGGAAACTTGGAAATTTCCTCGTCTCATTTATTTATTTTGGCTCTGTTGTCAAGCAGCACAGGAGTCTAAAACTCAAGCATATCATACGATGCGACTTCAAAAATCTTTCCCAAGAGCAAAATTACTTGACCCACATACAATTGTGCTAAAGGGCGTTTGATTATGAAAGTTAAACTGATAAACATGCTGGAAAGGTCATAAAGGACACAAAAACCCTTCCCCTGACAATATTTCTGAAGGGTTTAAAAGCAAGAGTTGGAATCTGCTTTAATCTGTTTAATGATGATAAGAATGACTTTACGGCTTTATCTAGGAAATTGCTGAAACCATTCTTTCCAAGGAGATGACTCACAAGGCACATGTTCCTTAAGAGTGGTGAATCGTTCCTGACATAGGAAATGGAACATTTTTTGGATAAAAAAGAAAGGGAACATAAGCAAAGGTTCAAAGATGAGTTTATTATGATTAAAGAAAGCATGTAAATGGAACATACACCAACTTAAAAAAGACAAGATCAAAAAAACAAACTCACCATGTTTTAAAAGGTTCTCCCCTGTTGGAAGTACTGACTGGCACAAGGAAATGCATTTGATTACTTGAATCCATAGACAAAATTGACTTGCCTAGGGCAGATGTTTTAGGCTAGTTTCTTTGTAAATCAACAAGGAAGGAAAATTCTTTTGATTGAGGATGGCCTTGAAAGCTGTGACAAAATATCTGGGAGGAAAAAGTGGACAGATGAGCCTCACCATCGAACTGTTGAGAATTTTGACCAGCTTTTCACAAATGAAGCAAGGAGAGTAAAATCCTACATAATATCAAGTAAAATTGTCTCTAGTGGGAGATATGAACTGTAAAGTGCAAATCAATTTCTGTGAACCTCGAAATATTGCAAGACTTTATTAAAAGTTCCAGTGGTACCAGCAGGCGTTACAACATGTCGTGTATCCAAACATGAGCAGCAAATGTGCGTTGTTTGCTTCCTGATTCTCCCCCTTAAATGTGACATCTCCACCATGGCAATCTTAACCTGCATCACGTCTGGAGTGTCAACCTGGGATATTCTTGAAAAGTACATAAAATGATCCGAAATGCCTGTTAAGCTTCCACAACAGATAGAAGTATACATTTTGAAGGATTGAATAATCTTTGATTTCTCTCTCCAAATTATGACTCATAATACTATAGTACACTTTTGATCATTCTTGCAGCCCCTACCAAGCTACAAGAACTTCAGGTGAAATTTACTCAGAACCTAGGTATGACCTAAATTACTCAACTTTACAAGCTCGGGCACAAAAAGATTCAGTAAACAAGTGCAAAATAGTACAACTCTAGAAGAGATTTACTATTCCAGCCGACATGGTTGAGATATAGCAAACGAGAACACAAATTACAGCATTTGAGAAAAGATACTGGACTTCAGAAAACTTCGGTTAGCCTTCCAATGGATGATGGCTTTAATTTCTACATACAAGCCAGAGCTTCATCTTATTTTTCTGCAGAATCCAAGCAGTAAGATAGGTATCAGTGTATTAGTTGGAACCTAAAATAGGCCGTGGACCATAACCACCACGCATTAAACAACCTCTGTTATTTACAATGACGACTTGAAGAGATGTGTTGACAGCACCGCTGATTATGTAGCAATTGATTCTGAAGAACTTGCCTTTCAGACTTCAATCAGAATTAGCTGAGCAGAAATCTCATGCTCTATGAAGGAAAATCAATGTGGTATACTCTCCACAGAAAACACATCCGCATGGTTATGCCTAGAGAAGATCACGGACGCAAGTGAGGTTCACAATGGAAAATCTCAGCAGGTGTCCTTTAGCCACTCTCCTGGAATGTATGAGAGCGAGAAAGAGCTGCTGGGTTTGCTTCCATTACATGAGTGATATCAGATACATGGCGATAGCATTCTGCTTTGGTTTCAAAATTCTTGAAGATAGTACCTTTTGATGCGGGATCCTTCTGATCAGGCTTAAGACCTAATGCAGCCCATAAAGGACTCTTTGAAGCCTCACTTGGGTCATCAATTCTTAGTGTTTTTGGGACCAATATACATTTTTCTGCCTTCTCTTCTTCCATAAATTTTGAATCTCTGGAATGCTTGCCTAGGGTTGGTGAGCCATTTCCTGAGCAGCAACTTGTGTTAGTAGAGGTTGATAGAGAAAGGCAGCCATTCGATCCACTCAATGATACATTTCTTGTTCCAGCAGTCCATGAGGGCATGCAACCCCAATAAGAAGCAGGTACAAATTGTAAAGGAATGTTTGGAGGGCAAATGCTGGGAACAGCCAACATTGGTGTGGGGCACAATTGAACTTGATTGGGAGTATTTGTCACGCAAGCCTGGCCAGTGGAGTGCTGAGCTGCGGTCATGGAAGCAACATTATTCCAACCCGGGTTCCAAGGAAAAACCCATGAAGGGACAGAATAACAAGGCAAGGAATTTGGTGAGCTGAGTTCGTTAGAAGATACTGGCACATCAACTTGCTCTTTCTGCATAACATTTTCTCGCAATTCATTTGCCCAAGCATTGGAAGCTGTCTTGGAGGATCCACATGAAGACGGCTCTTCTACATTATCTTGATGATTGACTGAACTTATCTCAACATATCGTTTTTGGTCTCCAAGATTCAGCACATTCTCCATGGAATCACAAAGAGGTGCTTCATGACCGAATTTTAGAACCATTCCATTTGCTACTGAGGGACTCAAGATGGTTCCAGATTCAACAGAAGATTGAAGTTGGTGACTGATTGAGTCTGAGTTTTCCATTCTGGCAATAGGCATCCCATCAGAAGATACTAATATCTGACGATATTGAGTAGCCAAGTGCTTATTCTTCCGTCGGCCAGCACCAATAGGGACATTTCTCATTGATCCCCCAGCTGTCCAATATCTTTGGCAATTCTTGCAGAAATGCCTTGGTTGGTTGACATTATAGTTATTGAAGTAACAGAATTTTGTGTCTAAACTGTTGCATCGTGGACATGGTAGAATTTTATCTGGCTTCTTAAGGACTTTCTCTTGGTCTGTGCCATTAGTCTCCAGTGGACCTTCCTTAGGCTTAGCAATTACTTGTGCCTCATTCACTCGCATTGCAGCTTGGCTTTCTTCCTTGCCTTGTCCAGAACCAGAGAACATTTCAGGTTCTTCTGAGCTGTCTTCACTAGGACCCTTGGTTTCTACTCTTGCTATCTCACTGCAGCTTCCCTGATATTAAACAAAGAAAAAAAAACATTAGACTAGTTATAGAATTGAAAATTTAAGAGAGAGAAAAAAAAAGATTAGCAGAGGTGAAATGAAATTAAGGGACTGATATATCTTCACCGCATTTAATTAAAGTAGCTTTATATCAGAAGACCCTAAATAACATTAAAGAGAACAAAACAAATAATAATTTAATTCATTTCCAAATGAGATTAATGGACTCCTGCTACCTTCCTATCTTCTGACATTAGATTTGTGTCATCAACGAAAATGAGCGTGCCTTGAAGTGATCATGCTCAGCCACCAAATTTGCAATTACCACATTCAAGCATGATTCAAGAAACAGAAAATTTATAATGAAAAAGGCAACTTTTGACAGAATACAAAGAATGGGAAACGAAGTTGATCATCAACCTGCTTATAACTTTCCAAGAAAAAATAATTAAGCACTTGGAAGTTTGATTGGCATGATTGAATCAATTTTTGATACAGCACAAGAAAAACTATGGTGAATTATTTGTTTTTAGCCCCACTACCCATCAACTGGAAAACCAAAATCACATGACTAGCTCTGATCACTGTATTATGTATTTCACCATGTTAGTTACCATGTTAGTCTAGAAATTTAGATTTTTCCAATTAAACTAGAATCAAATATGAAGACATTTCAGAATTTAATTCAAAATGAACAAGGAAGAACAAATGCAACACACAACCTATTTTCACAAGTTTTATCTCCTTATAAAAGAAGAAATGCAGAAATAGTTCACAGATTTCCCTAAAAATAGTAGTTTCATCTTTCCATGTACACCAGTTCACGATAAAATCCGAAATGAAAATAGTATGTTCACCATCGAGCTAAAATTGCACATGCACAAAAATTGCCAATCTTGAATATCTCACATTAAAAAAAAATTATAGATATTCTGGGACCAATTTTTTCCAAAATTCAAAGTTGCAGTTATTATAATTCCTCAAACAGGTAAATGTCTTCTAAACAATACGCAAATGGAAAGAGAAAAACGAAGAAAGAAAGGAAGTTTCCTGTTTCAACAACAGAGGAAACAGAACATGGCATAGACAGTTTCCTGTTTCAACAACAGAGGAAACAGAACATGGCATAGACACCTCCTTTTTAACACTATTTTCCATTAAAAATGTTTCTACAAACAACACATAACATCCTTTATTTTTTACCTACAAGCCTTACAACAACTCATAACGCAAATACCTTCACTATTTATTTCCCATCAAGAAAGGACCACTTTTCCATGCCAGCGTTTACTTAACCATAAACCAATACCATGAAACAACACCATACAGCCTCTACAACGTTCATTTCAAGATTCATTTAAGCTCAAGCTCATTCTTTCTTGTACCAAAACACAGCCTAAAACATCTATTAGTTCAAAAACCAATACAAAACCAACAACCCAGATAAAATCTCAAGACTTTCAGCTAGCAAACTAAACTACAACCCCAACTCAAAACCAAAAACCAAAATAGGTATTTCATTATATACATACACATATCCCTGTAAGTAAGTACCTTGGCTAGTGGTTCGGCCGGAAACTGAGTATCAGGTACAGGAATCTTCCTACCAAAGAGCTTGAAAGCTGGATCTTTAGACTCACCCTTCATGGTTTTTTTTTGTTTTTCTTGTATCAAAATAGAAGTTGCAGACTTTGAAGGGTAGTAATAGTGACACCAAAACCCATATAGAAATTAGTACTGCAACAAAAAGTAAAAAGAATGTTAAAAAAGATTGAGAAAAGGAGAGAGGGAAAAAGATAGGCTTTTTTCTTTTCCTTTCTTTTCTTTTTAGACAGTAACAAGCTTTATAAAGTTAAGTTGCCTCTCTCTCTCTCTCTCCCCCTCACTAAAAACCCACGAAACCCTCTCAAAGTTAGCATACTTCCAACAAGTCTCCACCCTGAAAAAGTAGCAGATGATAGACAGCATAAAGAACGTGAAGGATCAGAAGGTTTATTTTTTATAGGAAAAAACTTTCTTGCCCCTTTTTTTCTCAAGATATTCAATTTGTTTATTGTTCATCAAGTTTAGTTGGTTCATAGATGGGAGAAAAGGCTGTCATGATCTCCTTAATTTTGCCACCTGTTCTATTTATGTCAGCTTAAAAATGATAGGCTGCTGGATTATTTTATGCATAAACTTCGAGAATAAAGTATTACAAGTTGTCGTATTGATTATGTGCTTTGAATTTATCTACAGATTCCTTGAAGCTAATGCTCAAACTTCTAAAATTAGATAATAGTGTTTTTTCTAACTCTTTCTTTTCTCAATATTTTTTCATTTAAAATCATAAAATATTTTTGTTTATAAAATAGGAGTGCAAATAAATCAACCACATAATCTACAGCATTTGTTAAAACATTTATATCACAATTGAAACTTAAAACATTTAGATAGAGGGAATTAAAGAAACATCTTTTATGATAAATAAATTAGTGATGGGACTAGTTAAACTCAAAATAAAATAATTTTTTCTTGAGTAATGTTAGAATATATATATATATATATAAATTTGGACCCAAATCACTTGTTACTATGTAAACAATGAACTTGAATTTTCTCAAGTAGAAAAGGAGGACTCCAATTAGAATTATTTATATAATACTAAGAAAAAAGAAAAGAAAAGACAAATTAAAAGTGAATTACTTGGAAAAAGTGTAGGAAATAGGATTCGGTGGCAGTTGGCATCCAAGTCAGCTAAGGGGGTGACCTATTGACCAAGCGATGTAGTGGCTAAGGATGAAGCTTACGCAGGAAAGAAAGACAAAAGCAAAAAGCAAAAAGCAAAAAGGAAAAAGGACTTTTTATGGGCCCACGTCAGAAAAAAGCAGAAAGTTACAAAAGACTCCTCTCCTAAGGCTCTCGCCTTTTACGCCGCCTTCAATGCCTTTGCTGGATTGGATTTTTTTTTTTTTTAACCAGCACAGTTTTGAGAGAGTTATCAGAAGTTGCACAGTTTTGACAAGTGTTAGAAAAATAGAATAGTTTGTAAAACATTATCGTGGGACATCACGGTTGTTAAAGAAATGTTTTGCTTATCATGTTGTTGAAGAACTGATATTCACAATAATAATGATTTAAATAAAAAATATGATTTAGTATTGCAATTTTAATATAACTTTTTAATTTAAATATAACTATTATTCACAATAGTGGTTCTTTAATAATTCTGATCATGAATAAGGGTTTTATAACAAAACTGTAATTTTAAATTGTGTTTATAATGCATTTTTAAACTTCATTCTTTTTCTTCAAAGTTGCTGCTCTCAAGAGGAAAAAAAAACTTAGAAATTGAAAAAACTCAAGAGAAAACCGTCTTTAATCGCCTTCAATTTACTATCAAAACACTAAAATTATCTTCTCTTTATCTCCACGGGCATTTCTACTATTTTTTTTATTATAAACTGCTAGTCCAAGCTTTTGTATTCAGCCTCTTTGCTGCCACAACCGATGAAACTATCATCTATATGTCATAAAAATGAAGATAAAACATTAATATTATTTGTTAGTTTGATTAGTTTAGTTACTGAATTGATAAATTTTTTGTTTTGATTAAATTAGGTATTTGTGTAGTGTTTGATAATTACATAATTTTATATTTTGAATGTTGCAATTATATATTTTTAATAGAATTGATGGGATTTATGGAATCAATTATGCTTGAATTAGAGAAATTAGAGAAATTAGAGTTTAAATTAATGATTGGGTTAGTTGTCGTATATAATTATATTATTTAAATTGATATAAATTTGATTTTAATTTATGCAATTAGACTAGAGTTTGCATTGATTTTTTGTAAAAAGTATGATAATTGTAGATTTTGTTCAATTGAGATTATTTTTTTTAATATTCAATTCCTGTATATTAGTTTTTAGATGTAAAAATTGTTCAATTGATTGGTTGTAAAAATTATCATAATTGAACTTTTGAATTTAATTATTGTTTTATTGCTATTATTATGGTCTACGTAATAGCAAATAGCAAATTGTGTTTGTGTTTGTGTTGAATTATAAGATAATTTATTTTTGATGAAATGAATATTTTTATTTTACAAATATGTCTTTAAACTTTTTTATGTTGTGTTATTATGGTGGTACTATTGTTCTTGATACAAATAATAATATCACTAATATTAGTAGAAATATTGTGTCTTGAATGGTACTAATGGTGTGTCATTTGAAGATACCAAAAAAATTATATGTGGCAAAGTTGAGTTGAATTATAATAATGTTGAAATAGATATCACTTTGAGATGTCTTGTTGGGGAACATCAATATTTTTTTTATAGAATAATGTGATGTGAATTTTAAAAATATGATGGAAATATTCTTCCAAAATAGAACAACGATAATGGAGTTGTATATAAGTAGCCAACCTAAACTTAGTAGCTCATATAATATGGAGCATGTAAATACTATTTTTTATGGGTTGATGTTGTTAAATGATGACAATTAATTACTTGTTGATATTTAACTTTTTAGATATTAATAAATGTTAAGAAATTACTACGTAGGTTGATGTTGAAATTTTTTATATTTATAAATATTGAGAAATAATTTTTCATGGGTTGATGTTGATAAATGATGAGAAATAATTGCATTGTTAATATTTTAATAGGTTGTGTGGAACCCTTTTTCAAAAGATAATATAACTGCTCTTGCTATATGCATATCGACCATGAATTTATGGACATTAGTTGTCCCTTTCATATTTTTTAAGCTTATTAAGATGCATTGCCCCGAACCATGTAATGCAAAAATTTAGCTTTAAGCAACATATTTCATCTAACATAAATATGAGTGATCAATTGTATTCCATTAGTCATTCAAGTATGCACACTGATTATAATTAGATAATCTACAATCTCTAACATGTATCGATGTGGGATGCATAAAAAAATATATTTTTAGAGAGATATATCATATAATTTTTAAGGAGGAATACATGGGTTTGTACTTGAGTATAACATGTTGAATCATTACACCTAATCTAATGCAAGTTCCTCCACATGAGGAGATGGAGTATGAGCCACTTGCACATGAGATTTAAAATGTTGTAAGTATTTGTTATTTTTATAGGTTTTGAGAAAGAAAAAAAAAACATTGTATTTTATTTATGAATTAATAAATTCTATTTTTTTCACATTAGGTTGAACAATTGTTACATGATGGTCAGCATATTGCAACTGATCTTTATGATCTCGATGATGATAATGCACTTGCTCGTTATTATGAATCTTGATATGTTGTATTACATTTAACTTGTTAAAAGAAATATTAAGCCTAAATGATGTTATCTTAGAGGATGAAATCATAAAGACAAGTGGAAGTCATGTTATTGATGAAGTTAATCCATCTACTTGTTGTCGTAAAAGACATAGATAAAGTCAGATGTATTATTATATTATGTTATTTTTCTAGTTAAGATTTATTTTTATTATTACTACTTTTGTAATATTATTTTTGCTAATTATCATGTTGATTTTAAAGTAATTTTACACATTATGCATTTTCATACTTAGTTTATATAATCATGATTTAATATTGTTAATTAATAAATTAATATATAAACATGTTGTTTAAATTTTCAAATCATCCATTAACAACTTCAAAAATATGCATAAATAAAAAAAAAATATTTAAAAAACACACATATTAATTTGAAATTACAATTAACAAATAAAATGATGTTAAAATAGCCTTTGTTTCAATTATGGGTTTGAGGTTTGGTAATTTATGGTTTTGTTTGGCCTTTGGTTGTGCTGATTTAGACTTTGTGGTTTTATTTGGCTTTTAATTATGGTGATTTAAACTTTGTTTTATATAAAATTTTGGAGTGGATTGTGCTGCTTGACACAACCCCTATTGATAATAGTGGTTGGTTAATATTTATAAACACCCGCTATTGTTATTAGTGGTTGTTTAAAACGATCGCTAATAACATTAGTAATGATTAATAAACCATGTTTTTTAATAATAATTGAGTTAAATATATATTATTTACCAAAAGTTTATCTCTCTTATGGTATTTCTTTTTTTTTTTAAATTATGTTAATTTGATAAATGACCCGCTAAATTGTTGATCTTAATAACAAGAAAAAGTGAGAGATTAGAAACAAATAAAAAAAAGGGGGTATTTACTCTTGTTAGCAAGGTTATTTTCTAATAAACTTTCAGTTTGATAATATGTGTTTCACAAAAATTTAAATGCCTTAATAGTTTTAGATTATTTTAATGAGTTGATATCAAAAATAATTTTTTTAAAATAAAAAATATTATTTAAAGATATTTTCGAGTAAAAAACACTTTGAAAAGTAACTATTATCACGCAACCAAACACCTCTTTAATCAAAATAAGTCCATTATTATTAAATGAATTTAAAAACATATTTTTATATTGATTGAATATATTTATTAAATTTTAATTTTTTTTAGGTATCAATACTAAGATTTAAACTCGAAATATGAAAAATAAAGTAAGTTATTTTAGTCAACCACTTAAGAATTTTATTATAATAATATAACTTAATAAAATCACAGGAATGTGCTATGGATGTTCTCATGAATGGAGCAAGGGAATTGCAGGCAAATGGGTCCAATTCCTTGCAATTCGCATGCAGATTAATGTTCAATTTGGCAAATAACATTATCCTAAGACTAGCTTAGCTACCAAATCATCATTTTCTATGTTTGGATACTGTGGTCGTCCTTCTTTCCCTTTTCCATATTTAGTTGCCATTTAAGTAAAGTGAGACCTTCCCAAAAATGTCAATGGTCATTTCTTTATCGTCAGATTACATATTGATCCTCTAAAGAAATATACCGAAATCGTTAATTGCCCGGTGTTGAAACTATTATAAATAGGGACTTATAAGAAAATC